ATGTCCCCATGTCAACAAATAAAGAGCAGAGTAAGGAAGGGGGACTTCCCTGAAGATCAATTCTGATTAGAGACGGTCCCAGGATCGAGGTGATATGCTCGTCCTAGCGCTCGAAGCCATCCCATAATCTTCTTCTCCAACTTTGCCTGTTGAGTGGTTAGAGTGTCAACTCTGGTGCCCAAGTCTGTGACAGAAGTGCAGAGACCAGCCATGTCCTACTTCAGGGCTATCAGGCGGGTACTTCGGCGGGGCTGTGATGTGCCCGCCTCTTCAACTCTCATAGGTGGTGGGACCTGAGTTGCCGTAACATCATCATCATCAGATTCATCATCCGATTCATCAACATTCACCACCAGCTCTATCCCAACATTCATCATCTCGTGGTTTATTGACATCGGTCGTATTGTTGGAGGGCAACAACTGACTGTTGATAATTGTGAGCCAACACTTAGCCTCCCAATTGAGAGACTAGGAGTTAAGAGTGATCCGGTGCTTTATCCATATGTATTCTCTGTCTGGCACACAGATAGTCTCAAGAAGAGTTGCCCACAAGGCACTTGTTCGCTATAAGTATGATAAACATCATATTCCCCCCTGAACACTAGCAGCCGGTACACCCTGTGAATGGCCTCGATGGACGGATTTACCTGGGTATGGCGTACAGTAACAACCCCATTCTCATGTTCCGGGCAGTTAGCATAGAATTCCCTTACCATTTGAACATTGGCCTCCTCCGGTTCGTCAAAGAAGATGTCCAGCTGACACCTCCTCAACTCATTGAAGATATTCGAGCATTCCACTTCTAAGGCTTCTCGGTCAATGTGCACCTCCACTAATAATTTCTTAGACACTTTTGCATTGTACCTGTCCTCTGCCGGTTTGGAGACAAATATAGTGCTATCAAACTGTGGCGCACTAGCTTGGCCCCTGGCCCTCGAGGAGCTGCCCGGTCCACTGGCGGAGGACCCTGTGTTGTGTCTCTTCCTATTTGGATGCATTGTACCTGTCAAACAGAGAAGCGCCTATAAGTTAGGGTGTGAGATGTGTGAGCCATGGGTGGTTACTCAGACTTCACCACAACCATGGTCACAATAGTCCTTATAACTCTATTGAGGCAATTCCACAAACACCTTGTGGGCAAAACAATTTCTTAACACATATAGCCCATATGGATATATCAATGCTTCCCCCAAATCACAAGTGGTACTACACCATTCCCCCACAACCATTATTTCATCACCTACAAACATATACATCTCCACCACATTATATATATAATCCCTTAACAAGCACCCACCAAGACAAAATTCAATAGAAAAAAGAACAAAAAGAAATCTACTAGAAATACTACACCATTACAACATTAAACTACATAAAAACTAAAATAAAATACAAAAGATGAGGTAAGAGAGAAAAGACAAACCTTTATGGAATATAAAAGGAGAGGAGTGGGGATGGGGGAATTATGAGAAAAGAAGAAGAAGAAGAAGAAGAAGAAGAAGAAGAAGAAGAAGAAGAAGAAGAAGAAGAGAGGAATGATTTGGGAGTTTAGGGTTTAAAGAGAGAGATGAATTGGGGGAATGATGGGGGTGGGTGGTTGTTTTGGGAAATAAAGAAGAGGGGGCGGATGTTTTGGGAGATAAATAAGGGGGTGTTTGAAAAGAAAATAAAAAAAAATTAATTCAAAATACTTACCTGGGCGACGAATTTTTACGCCTCACCGCGGTCCTGCCGCGGTCCCACCGCAGTCGCGGTGGGTTAAAATTCCTTAGGCAGTGTACAGGGATTTCACGGCGTTCCTACCGCGGTCCCACCGCAGTGGGCTGCGCATGTTCGAGGCAGTGTACTCGCCTCTCACCACGGTCGCGATGCTGCCCATTTTTTTTTATTGTTTTTATAATGAGACGTACATAATAAACACAAACTACAACATTCATGGGTTGCCTCCCATGCAGCGCCTGATTTAACGTCGCGACACGATGCAGGCTCAGAGCATCACTCCTCATTCACGTATTGGGGCTCTTCCAACATTACTATCTCTCTGTCCCCTTTCTCATTTGTCATTCCAAGGTAATGTTTCAACCTTTGACCATTCACTATGAACTTATTCGTCCCATCCTCTGATTCGATCTCAACAGCTCCACTTGGGAACATTTGCACCACTCTGAAAGGTTGACCATCGGGACTTCAACTTACCTGGAAACAATCTCCATCTGGAGTTATATAACAACACTAGCTCTCCGGGTTTGAAGTTTCAGTCCACGATGTGCTTGTCATGCATCAGTTTCATCCGTTCTTTGTATAATCTATCACTCTTGAATGATTGGAACCTGAATTCCTCTAGCTCATGTAACCCAGTGACTCTGTTAGTGCCTGTTGTCTCCATGTCCAAGTTCAACTGCCGCAATGCCCAAAGTGCTTTTTGCTCAAGCTCCACCGGGAGGTGGCATGCCTTTCCAAACACCAACTTGTACGGTGACATACCAATTGTAGTTTTGAAGGTTGTGCGGTATGCCCACAATGCATCATCCAGCTTCCTTGCCCAATCAGTCCATGTTGCATTCACTATTTTTGTAAGGACACTTTTAATCTCCCTGTTGGACACTTCAACTTGCCCGCTCGACTGTGGGTGGTACGGGGTGGTTACCTTATGATGAACTCCATACTTTTCCAATAGTCGTGCGAATGCTCTATTGCAGAAATGTGTTCCGCCATCACTGAGTATAGCTCTTGGGGTGCCAAAATGTGTGAAAATGTTCTTCTTCAGAAAGCCTATTACCCCTTTATCATCATTGGTCGGGAGAGCCACTGCTTCGACCCACTTGGAGACGTAGTCAACTGCTACCAGTATGTACTTGTTACCATACGAGCTGATAAATGTCCCCATGAAGTCGATCCCCCACATGTCAAAAACCTCCACCTCTTGAATTGTGGTCATTGGCATCTCATGTCTGCGAGATATGTTGCTTGTCCTTTGGCATTCATCGCAACTTTTGACCCATGCATGGGCATCCTTGAACAGAGTTGGCCAATACAAGTACGACTCCAACACCTTAGCTGCTGTCCGAATTCCTCCAAAGTGTCCACCATATGGTGAAGCATGGCAAGCCTGCAAAACAGAATTTTGATCTTTCTCGGGGATACACCGCCGGATCAAGTTATCTACATAGATTTAAAACAAAAGAGGTTCATCCCAATAATAAGACCGACAATCACGAAAGAACTTTTTCTTTTTAATTGAGGAGAGTTCATGAGGTACAATACCACTTGCTAAATAATTAGCAATGTCAACATACCACGGTGCCTCCTCCAATGTCATTGCTAGTAACTATTCATCTGGGAATGTCTCTATTGTATCGTCAACCTCTACCTTCTTTTCAGCTCCTTCCAACCTTGAGAGGTGGTCAGCCACTTGGTTCTCTATCCCTTTTCTGTCACGTATCTCCATATCGAATTTTTGTAACAGAAGAACCCAGTGAATCAGGCGTGGCTTTGACTCCTTTTCTATCAGGTACCTAATTGTTGCATGGTCAGTGTAAACAATAACTTTTGAGCCAATCAAGTATGACCTGAATTTGTCGAATGCAAAAATGACAACCAACATCTCCTTTTCCGTCACGGTGTAATTGAGTTGTGCACCGCTAAGTGTTCTGCTTGCATAGTAAATCGGGTGCATCAGTTTATCTTTTCTCTGCCCCAAGACTGCTTCTATAGCATAATCACTTGCATCGCACATGAGCTTGAATTGTTGCTCCCAGTTGGGTGCAACAATGATAGGTGCAGTCACCAATCTCTTCTTCAACTCCTCAAATGGCAACCTACAATCATTAGAAAACACAAAGGGGTGATCCTTTTCAAGGAGTTTACATAACGGGTTAGCAATTTTAGAGAAATCTTTTATGAATTGCCTGTAGAACCCGGCGTGTCCAAGGAAACTTCTCACTGCCTTGACTGAAGTAGGCGGTGGCAACTTCTCAATCACGTCAACCTTAGCATGGTCAACCTCAATTCCCTTACTGGACACTCGATGCCCCAGGACTATCCCTTCTCGTACCATAAAATGGCACTTCTCCCAGTTCAAGACTAAATTGTCTCCACACATCTTTTGAGCACTCTTCTTAAGTTGTGAAGACAATCCTCGAATGAATCTCCCACCACGGAGAAATCATCCATAAAAACCTCCATGATGTCCTCCACTATGTCTGTGAAAATGGCTAATATGCACCTTTGAAATGTCGCTGGTGCATTGCAAAGCCCAAAAGGCATTCTTTGAAAGGCGAAGATGCCATACGAACAAGTGAATGATGTTTTCTCTCTGTCTTCGGGGGCTATTGAGATCTGATTGTACCCCGAATATCCATCCAAGAAACAAAAGTGTGATCGCACGGTCAGCCTGTCCAATATTTGGTCAATGAATGGCAGGGGAAGTGGTCCTTCCGGGTGGCTTTGTTCAATTTCCGGTAATCCATGCAAATCCGCCATCCCGTGACTGTACGAGTCGAGATCAACTCGTTGTTCTCATTTTTTACAACTGTCATCCCCCCTTTTTCGGCACACATTGGATAGGGCTGACCCAATTGCTGTCAAAGATAGGGAAGATGATTCCCGCATCTAACCATTTGATCACTTCCTTTTTCACCACCTCTTTCATATTCGGGTTCAGCCTTCGTTGATGTTTTCTGGAAGGTTTGTGCCCTTCTTCCAATAGAATCTTGTGCATACAGAAGGCTGGGCTGATATCCTTTATGTTTGCCATGGTCCAACCAATGTCAGTGTTATATTCTTGTAGCACCTGTAGGAGTTGCTCTGCCTACACATCTAGCAAACCGGATGAAACAATGACATGCAAAGTAGAATCAGGGACTAAGAAAACGTACTTGAGGTGAGCTAGGAGCGGTTTCAGCTTTAGCTTGGGTGGTTCCTCTACTGATGGCTTTGCTGGAGGTGTAGCCCTTTTTTTCTAACTCAAGGGACTCGAGCTGAGGTTCCCTTTTCCAGAATCATTGGGCTTCAAGTGCCATGACCCACTCAACTAACCCTTCACCATCCATCTCCTCTAAATTTGTCAAGCAGGCTTCTAATGGATCTTTAGCAGTCAGAGTCACATCATCTTCGTGCAGGATCACATCCACTGCCTATACTAGGGAGCAATTAGCATATTCACTGAGTTTCCTCATGGATTTCTGAACGTTGAATATGACTTCTTCATCGTCAGCCTCATTTTTAATTCCCTAGTTTCACAATCGATCAGTGATCTCCTAGTGACCAAGAATGGCCTCCCTAAAATGATAGGTATTTCCTCATCTACCTGACAATCAAGAATAGCAAAGTTTGCAGGGAACACAAACTTCCCCACTTGTACCAACACATCATCAAGAATCCCGGTTGGCCTTTTAACCGTGCGGTCAGCTAGTTGCAACAACATCAAAGTCGGTCCAGCTCTGCCAATGCCCAGTTTGGTGTATATAGCCAGTGGCATCAAATTTATGCTGGCTTTTAAGTCACATAATGCCTTTGCAAAGGCATAACTCCCGATAGCGCATGGAATAGTAAAGCTACCTAGGTCAGACATCTTTTGAGCTATGGGTCTTGTCACTATTGCGCTGTAGGTCTGCGTCAGAGTTATTGTGGATAGGTCCTGAAATAAAACTTCCGTGACATTAGGCCCTTCATAATCTTCACATAGCCTGGGATCTCCCTCAAGGCATCCTTCAAAAGGAATATTCAATTGAATTTGACGCAACATCTCCATGAATTTCCTGTATTGATCTTCCTTCTTTTGTTTTACTAGTCTCTGAGGGAATGGTGCAGGTACCACTCTTTGTGCACTGCTTGTTGGCTTCTCTCTGTTGTGGTTCTGTGGCACAAGAGGTACCATCTGTTCTACAACTTGTTCACTCACCTTAGCCTTACCCTTTTCATCCTGACCCTGTTGAACTACCACTTTAGTAAGTTCTGTTGGTTCATCTACCTCTATTGGAACTGGAGTGGCTGGCGTAGTCTCTTTGCTGGCTTGTGCAATTTCCTGCTCTTTATCTAAATCTCTCATATTCCGGAGACTTACTGCCATCAGCTGATTCGGGTTTTGCTCCTTGGGGTTAATATTTGTGTCCGCTGGCAATCTTCCCTGGGGGCGGTTGTTTAAAGCCATAAACAGCTTCCCCAATTGAGTTTCAATGTTCTTTATAGTTGAATCATGCATTTCCAATTTTTCCTGCATCTTACCATTTGTCCCAATGAGTTGCTGAAGCATACTCCTGATCTCTACCATATTGTTACCTTGCTGCTGAGGAGGTGGCTGATATGACAACTATTGTTGGTTCTACTGTGGATAACCCTGCTGTCTCTGGTATGGCACCATTTGGCCTTGGGGTTGCATATCTCCAGGCTGTTGCATGTTTGGCATGTATTGCTGATTTGGTGTCGGTCTCCACTGTTGACCTCCTTGTCTCTGACCCCCAAAGTTGTTGACATAATTCATATCTTCTCTTACCCTTTGACTGTCACCTTCTCCACTCCATGAGCACACATATGACTGATTAACACAGGGTGTACACAGTCCTCCATTTGTTGTGTCAACAATATGCACATGTTTTGGACCCATCTCATCGATCTTCTTTGTCAATATACTCATCTGAGTCAGGAGTGTGGCCATGTTCTCTGCATGCGAATTATTTGGGTCAAGAGGAATGGAATGCACTATGGGTGTCAGTGTTGTACCTCTAGTCATCCACCCCGAATTATGGGACATCTTGTAAAGAAGGACTTTGCACTCGGTGAATATCTTACTCAAAAATGCACCTCCAGTTGAAGCATCCACATTGGCCTTTAGATTGTAAGCTAACCCCATGTAGAAACTCTGGCCGAGCATCTGGTCTGGAATGCCATGGTGAGGACACTTCACTAGCATCCCTTTAAATCTTTCCCAAGTTTCCTGCAAGGTCTCAGTCGGCTGCTGCTTGTACTGCAATATTTCATCAATCTGCCTTGCAGTCTTGTTGGGCGGGTAGAACTTATTCAGAAACTGCTTGACTAATTTCTCCCAGGTGATAATGAAATTAATAAGGAACGAATTTAACCAAGTCTGAGCTTCCCCAGTCACAGAGAATGGGAATAGTAACAACTTGATCGCTTCCGGGGTCACATTAGGCTGCCTTTGGGTCACACAAATCGACAGAAAATTTTTCAAGTGTTGCTGAGGGTCTTCAATGTGTGACCCGGAGAACAATCCCTTATTTTGTAGAAGATGCAACATGTTGTTGGTGATCTGGAATGTCTCTGCTGGAATTAGGGGCACAGCTATGGCAGTAGCCAAGTTGTCAGTTGTAGGTTGTGCCCAGTCATAAAGTGCAGCTTCTGGTACAAGAGGTGCCACTACTCCGACGTTTGGGGGAGCTGGTGCATCCCCAACATTTCCGTTGATGTTTTCTACTTTACCCATGTCAGATTCAAGCTGGTGTGGTTGTTGTGATTGCTGGATCCTCTTGTTGGCACAGTTCAATGCCCTAAATGTTTTCTCGGGGTCTGAGATCCTTCTAGCAGTTCTCCAGTCCTCGAAGAATTTCTAGGCATACACCTGAATTCCACAAGAGTTCAAACGTGAGAATTTCAATGAAAAGATTATTTAACACCTTCGAGAATTGGTTTAAACTAATAATTCTAACACTACTTCTAAGTTGTAATAAATAACACCGTTAGTCCTCGGCAACGACGCCAAAATTTGATCACGCCCAACTATGTCTCTTAAAAGACAAAGCGGTCATTGCAAATATATTCTGGTTTTAAGTCTGAAGTCGAATCCTCAGAGAACTAACCTATCTATTACAACTCTTGGCAATGCTATTATAAACTCAACCAACTTCTAGATGCAAGATTTTTATCAATCGATCTTGGGTTTTTGTTTAACTACTTCAAATAATATTAAAAATAATAATATGCTAGATTAAAGATAATTCAATGGTAAAAAGGTCTAGGGCAGTGATTTCCCTAATTGCTAGCTTCGGTCTTGACTCTTCCGCTATAGTCTCGCCATAATACTCTATGAGGATTAAGAGCTATGGGTTATCATAATTATCTCTCGATCAACTACAATAATTTACTAGAGCATTCTCTCGAACTACTCTAACTGACAATATGTGCAGCTCTAAATTATCCCACCAAAGTTTCATTATCTCTAAACCCACTTTTAAGTTCAAGTAATGATTCTCTTCAATTACCCAAAAGTGTTGTTGTTTAACAGCAGTCTAACCTAATATTCTCTCTCAAGCAATATGAAGTAATTAGACACGATTAATCAAGGGCCCATTCAATGAATCACCATACAAAACGTAGTTGAACAATCATATAATAAATCTAGCTCCATTATAACAAGTTGAGTCAAAACTTCAACCAACAATTGGTTCCATCAACCCTAGATAATTGTTTAGCTACTCATAACAAAATAAGATAAAACTACAAAGTTGTTCATAATGTATAATTGCAAGAATTAAAAGGAGATAGAAAAACTCTAATGCTTGGTTGATCTTCTTACACTTGTTCTTGCCTCCAAAGTAGTCTACCAACAAGCTTCCCCTCCGTCTTGGGCGAGCTTCTAAAGTTTATAAGGGTTTGGAACAAGGTTTTCCCGAATTACACTTTGGTCCCCAATTTTCTGGCAACTGAACAGTTCATCGCGCCGCGGTCTTGCCGCGGCCGCGACCGCTATGGAGGCTAAACATTCTGCCTCGCGTAATTGTCTATCGCAGTTCCACCACGGTCGCGGTGGATTTCACCTCAATCCATTTTTTGCTTCTTTATGCTCGGGTGCTTCTTGATTGGGCATTTTCTTCACATTATTGACTCCAAAAAACTCCGTAGCGCTTCCTCACTTAGATTATTCCCTGCGAAGCAAAAAAACACCAATTAGAGCATTTGTTTATCAATTTGCCTATAAAACAACAATAAATCATGGTGATATTAAGGTGTAATATCATCTATATAGCCTAAAATCACATATCATGCTCGGTCTCCCAGGTCGCCTCCTCGACCGGCTGACCTTGCCACTAAACCTTCACTGATGCAATGTTCTTTGACCTCAGCTTTCTGACCTGCCTGTCCAATATCGCCACTGGCTCCTCAACATAAGATAGATCCTTGTCCAACTGGATTGAACTGAAATCCAACACGTGTGACGGATCACCGTGATACCTCCGGAGCATCGAAACATAAAATACTGGATGAACTCATGCCAAGCTGGGAGGTAAGGCAAGCTCATAAGCAACCTCCCCAACATGCCTCAATATCTCGAAAGGGCCAATAAACCTCGAAATCAACTTTCCCTTCTTCCCAAATCTAAACCCGAAGCAGAACCCACTCTCCAACCATATAGGAAACATCACGAACCTTCTGGTCCGCATAGCTCTTCTGTCTGGACTAGGCTATACGGAGTCGATCCTGAATCACCTTAACCTTTTCCAAAGCATCCTGAACCAAGTCTGTGCCCAATAATCTGGCCACCCGGCTCAAAACCAACCCACCGGGGATCTATACCGCCTACCATATAAAGCCTAATATGGTGCCATCTGAATGTTGGACTGATAGATGTTGTTGTAAGTAAACTCCGCCAGTGGCAAGAACTGATCCCAAGACCCTCCAAACTCACAGAGGGTGTAATCACACACGCACGGAGCATATCCTCAAGAATCTGATGTTGTACTTAACTCCACCCGAGTACCCAACTCATGCTGAACGGCCCTCCAGAACCGTGATGTGAACTGAGTACCTCTATCTGAAATGATGGACACTAGAATACCATGCAGACGAACAATCTCCCGGATATAAATCTCCGCCAACCGCTCCGAAGAATAAGTAGTACACACAGGAATGAAATGAGCGGACTTGGTTAGCCGATCCACAATCATCCAAATAGCATCGAGCTTCCTCAAAGTCCGTGGGAGCCCAACTACAAAGTCCATGGTGATCCGCTCCCACTTCCACTCCGGAAATCTCTATCTACTAAAGCAACCCACCCAGTCGTTGGTGCTCATACTTCACCTGCTGACAGTTGAGGCACCGAATCCAACTATATCTTTCTTCATCTGCCTCCACCAGTAGTGTTGCCTCAATTCCTGATACATCTTCGCAGCATCCGGATGGATGGAATACCGCGAACTATAGGCCTCCTCTTGAATCAACTCTCGAAGCCCATCAATATTGGGTACACAAATCCGACCCTGCATCCTCAATACCCCATCATCATCAATAGTCACATCTCTAGCATCACCGTGCTGAACCTTGTCCCTGAGGACAAGCAAATGAGGGTCATCATATTGACGCTCCCTAATACGATCAAATAAGGAAGACCGAGAAACCATGCAAGCTAGAACCCGATTGGGCTCCGAAAGATCGAATCTCATAAACTGGCTGGTTAAGGCCTGAACATCCATCGCCATAGGCCTCTCCAATGCTGGTAAATAAGCCAAACTCCCCAAACTCTCTGCCCGACGACTCAAGGCAATGACCACCCCATTGGCCTTGCCCGGGTGATACAAAATAGTGATATTATAATCCTTCAGCAGCTCAAGCCATCTCTTCTGGCACAAATTTAGATCCTTTTGCTTGAACAGGTGCTGCAAGCTCCGATGATCCGTATAAATCTCACAAGGCACACCGTACAAATAATGACGCCAGATCTTCAAGGGTTGGACAATAGCAGCTAACTCAAGATCATGGACAGGATAATTCTTCTCATGTACCTTCAACTGTTTGGACGCGTAGGCAATCACCCTACCGTCCTACATCAAAACCGCTCCAAGGCCAATCCTCGAGGCATCACAATAGACAATATAAGAACCCGAACCTGTAGGCAATATCAAAATTGGGGTTATAGTCAAAGCTGTCTTGAGCTTCTGAAAGCTCGCCTCACACTCCTCCGTCCACTGGAACGGAGCACCCTTCTGGGTCAACCTGGTCATAGGGGATGCAATCGATGAAAACCCCTCCACAAAACGACTGTAGTAGCCCGCCAAACCGAGGAAACTACGGACCTCGGTAGCTGAGGGTGGTCTAGTCCAACTCTGCACAGCCTCTATCTTCTTCGGATCCACTTGAATACCCTCACTCGATACCACGTGGCCTGTGAATGCCACTAAATCCAACCAAAACTCACATTTCGAGAACTTAGCATATAACTTCTTCTCTCTCAGAGTCTGAAGCACAGTCCTCAGGTGCTGCTCATGATCTTCCCGACTCCGGGAATACACCAGAATATCATCAATAAAGACAATGACGAAC